ATTTTTTTCTTATAAAAGGCTAAATAAAACAAAAATATTGGTGGTAATTTTTGACTGTGTAACTTTATAAACGGTACCCCATACTCGGCCGTTGAGAAGCAGTTACTTGCTGGAGGTGTGGACTCTGTTGAAGTTTAAAATGATTGGATCTGACTTGCCCAATCACCAATGTTTGGCTGTGACGTATGTAGTGCGCCAGCTCCACCGTGACGTACGCTAAGCTAAGAAGCCAATCAGGAAGTGTGTGCGCTGTAAACAACCATCAACTACTGGGAAGAGAGAAGTACCGAGCCAAACAAGAAGTCTGTAAAGAGCTGCAGGCTTTGTTAGACAAATTAAATTTATTTGGAAGCCAACATGGACTGACTTTATTCACTTCCTCCACTGCCATTGCTAAACTACAAGCTAAAACTAAAATGGTGCAGGGAATCAGTGACTTCATTCACAACTCCTTCTGTTTGCTGATTGGCCCGGTTGAAATTCTACCAGAGAAATCCTTGAAATCCCAGAACTAGAACTGAAATGTGTAGGAAGGCAAGGGTCAGGCTATGTAATGTCTGATTAATAAAGTTTACTGTAAAACAAGATTTAACTATTTCAAATTTACAACTATTTCATCCACTGACATGTATTCCCTGTAGAAACTAACCTTGTAGTTAAACCACGAAAGAAACAATGTAAGTTGAGATTTTTTACTTTAAGTTACAGTTATCCCAGATTTAAATATTATTCATTTTGTTAGTGTGTTAAATAGATAAAGCCAATCTGAGCAGCACTCGCACTCATTATACCCCCTTTAAAACTAAATAATAATAATAAGAAGAACAACTTTATTTATAAAGTGCTTTCAAACAAAGTGCTGAACAGGAGATAAAATCACAAATGACAAGACCAAGAATTTTACCATTATTTGTCTCTATAGCTAGGTTGAACATATGTCTTTCACAGTATTTTCTGAGGCAAAAGTCCTCAAAAAGCACATTAAAATCTTTCCACAAGTCAGTATAATTGTGTTTCTGGTTTCCTTGAAAGGAAGGAGGATCAAGATCATGTGAGGATCCGTCCCCCCTGCTTGAAGCTATTTTTTTCGTGTAATGTCCCAGAAGGTTTGAACTCCACCCTGCTGATCACACTGGATAAAACCAGCCTGTGATGCTGTGTAGACAACTATACAGCCCATCACCTGACAATAACACTGTCTGCTTTTTAACAAATATTCACTTCTCTGCTAGCTGTTTGTAATAATGAACCATCTGGTGGTTAAAGATCCAGTTTGTGCAGATTTGACTCAACTGAAGACACATGATCTCATCTCACACCCTTTTCTTTGGGAGTGACTGCAAACAAAAATCTTCACATTGCTCGCTGATTAGTCGATTTATTACTAGAATATTATCGAATTAAACAAAATAGTTTGAGGGAAATAATCTGTCATTTGTATAAATAGTTCAATGCAATAAAAATATAAGATTGGAAACAAAAAACATTTTTAAAAAGCAACTCTATTGTTTTGGTACAGCTTGTAAAAAATGCTTTTCTTGGTGTGTTGGTTTAGTCCAGGGCTCTGCAACATTCACAATCAAACTCATGTCTGCTCCTTGGCTCACTCATAAAATGTGTGATTATAAACTGGTGGTCCATGGGCCACTTTGGGGTTCTCAAGCTATTTGGGTCTGGGGACCACTTACAAGGGCAAAAAAATTTCCAGGGACCACCTCATAAACCCCATTCTGTTTTAAAAGATACAGCGGTTAAAATAAGTATTGAATACGTCAACAATTTTCTCAGTAAATATATTACTAGAGGTGCTAATGACATGAAATTTTCACCAGATGTCGGTAACAACCCAAGTGATCCATACATACAAAGAAATCAAACCATAAATGTCCAGAAATGAAGTTGTTGTTGTTGTCAATGACAGCTTTCAAGACGCCTCCTGTATGGAGAAACTAGTGGCATGCATTGCTCAGGTGTGATT